ATCAGCCCTGAGCTAACATCTGTGCTAATCCTCCTCTTTTTGCTGAGGAAGACCGGCTCTGAGCTAACATCTATTGCCAATCCTCCTCCTTTTTTTCTCCCCAAAGCCCCAGTAGATAGTTGTATGTCATAGTTGCACATCCTTCTAGTTGCTGTATGTGGGACTGCGGCCTCAGCATGGCCGGAGAAGCGGTGCGTCGTTGCGCGCCCGGGGTCTGAACCCGGGCCGCCAGTAGCGGAGCGCGCGCACTTAACCGCTAAGCCACGGGGCCAGCCCTAGTTGTATCTTTTACTATTCAAAAATTAGTCATTTCCATTCACCTGATTTCTGAGAACAACATAAAGCGGCTATTTCCAGGACTCCTTATATAGAAATCTTGAAAAATTGAAAGGAAGATAGGAAGTAACCCACAAAATCTTTTATTTCAACCCACTCATTTTATGTAAGTGAGAATTCAATATAAGCAGATCCTGAATGAAAATATTAATAGGTTTCAATTAATTAGTAGATAGTGATACCTTACCAGCTTTAGTTTATCATGAAATTAGGATTGTCTCAAAATCTGGGATCCAAATCCGTTACACAACTAATGTTAAAAAAAAATACAAACAAAAACTTGTACCCCTTTTCAAGTAGTATTTGACAAGTAACTAGTGAAAAACCTGAAAGAAAAAAGTTGAATTGTGATACTTGAATAAGGAAGTCATATAAAAATATCAGTTTGTACATGTATAAGGTTAATTTTAACATGTGAATAATGGCACTGAGTTTTGGTAAAGCCCACTATTGGGTTTTTAAATTTCTTATTCTCTAAGCTTTTGATTATTAACAAGGAATGGCTGTCAAAATTACTGGATGTGTTTTTCCGAATCATACACATGCTCCCTCTTTCCAGGGAATTGCTGCCTGTCGAGTTAAGAACCTATTAAAATGTGTATGTTTTGTTGATAGTTGGATTTTGTTTTGTTTTTTCAAGATGGCTTTGGTTACAGGGACTGTGTGAGCTGGATTCTAAATCTTCAGATAATTGTCTCATTGCTTTGTAGCTTTTGGTTTGGAAAACAATGCTCACCGTAGCTAGGGAAATTTATTGAACAATGATACTGATTTTTTATTTTTTATTTTTTTATTTTTTTTTGTGAGGAAGATCAGCCCTGAGCTAACATCCATGCTGATCCACTTTTTGCTGAGGAAGACCGGCTCTGCACTAACATCTATTGCCAATCCTCCTCCTTTTTTTCCCCCAAAGCTCCAGTAGATAGTTGTATGTCATAGTTGCACATCCTTCTAGTTGCTGTATGTGGGACGCGGCCTCACCGCGGAGAATCGGTGCGTTGGTGCGTGCCCGGGATCTGAACCCCAGGCCACCAGCAGCAGAGCGCGTGCACTTAACTGACAAGCCATGGGGCCAGCCCGATGATAGTGATTTTTAACAAATTAAAACAACGGGCTCAGGGCCGGCCCCGTGGCTTAGCCATTAAGTGCTCACACTCCACTGCTGGCAGCCCGGGTTCGGATCCCGGGATCGCACTGACGCACCGCTTCTCCGGCCATGAGGAGGCCGTGTCCCACATACAGCAACTGGAACGATGTGCAGCTATGACATACAACTATCTACTGGGGCTTTGGGGGAAAAATAAATAAATAAAATCTTTAAAAAAAAAAACAACTGGCTCAGAAGTAGTAAATCTAGGCTCCTTCACATTTACTCCATAGAATTACATTATTTAGTTTTCTTATAATCAATAAGTGATTCACATATTATATATAGCAGTCATGTTGTTTTATTCTCCACAGGTATGTTTGCAATTCGTGCTGATCATGATTTTGTAGTACAGGAAGACTTCATGAAAGCAGTCAGAAAAGTGGCTGATTCTAAGAAGCTAGAGTCTAAATTGGACTACAAACCTGTGTAATTTACTGTAAGGTTTTTGATAGCTGCATGACAGACGTTGGCTTAATGTAAAAATAAAGTTAAGGAAAATTATGTATTGGTAATGATCTCATTAAAAGCTAATGAATAAAAATATGTGTAACACCATAAAAATTAGTAATTCAGTAATTCTACTTTTAAGATTGGTACAGAAGAAATTTGTTAATGTTGCATTTATTGCAGCAGAAGTTATAAAAGAAGAGTATGTTGAAGCTTTTCGTATTTGCTGTTTGAGCATTTTGTAAAACATTGAAAATGGTTTGAGATAGTAGTACAAAAGAGCATTTCTTATGACTTATTTTATATCATTTGTTTTCCTTATCCTAAGAAGTTGAATAAAATCTGTTTGATTCAGTTCTGCTACATATGTTCTTGTCTTTTGTAAGTGTACATTTACTATGGTCCTTTAGGTTCTTTAGTAAGTAAACTACTTAATAACCAAGATGAAGTTGTATTTAGATCTTAGGCTTTTGAATTATATTTTAAAACAGTACCCACATTAGGTGTTCATAAGAGCATCTTGTTATATATAATATATATATGTGTATGTCTATATCTATATATTCCTCCTTCCAGAAAGCCTTTATTTACTCTTCACCTACTGTGATTAGGCTAACAGTTAATTGAAATAGTATATGCACATCCATAACCTTTTTTTAGATTATGATTAAAAGTAATATTTGCTAATAAATGTGACTTGGATTTCTTGATTTATGTGAGATGATAGTTCCCTTTTGACAATGTTAAGGTCTAGACCCTCTTTCCAGAAAAATTTATACATACCTACACATAATTTTGATATACTAAAACTTAAAGAGATTTTTTATTTCCCAAGCTCACCTGTGGACTCTAGGTATCAATGGATACCAGACTAAGAGTGTCTGCTACAGGGGATGGTGATGTCAGAAATGTTCAAAACAAAAGTTCTGTTATATATATACAATTGTTTCCCACGTCATGTGGCAATTAAAGCTTTGACAAATTACAACAGGAAATATCTTTGGGCATCAATTGAGATTATCTTATTAAACGTGCTGTTAAAAAAAAAAGAGGGGCTGGCCCAGTGGCACAGTGGTTGGGTTTGCGTGCTCTGTTTTGGTGGCCTGGGGTTCAGGGGTTCAGATCCTGGGCACGGACCTACACACTGCTCATCAAGCCATGCTGTGGTGGCATCCCACATACAAAATAGAGGAAGATGGGCATGGATGTTAGCTCAGTGCTAATCTTCCTCAGCAAAAAGAGGAGGATTGGCAATGGATGTTAGCTCGGAGCTAGTGTTCCTCACACACACAAAAAAACAAGAAACTTGACTTGGTTTCATAAACACTAAAGAATGAATGATATATGACCTGGGTAATTGTATAATCATTCTTCAAATTAAAAACTTACTAGCAGAGTATTGTGTGCCTTTTTATAGTAGAGAACAGTTTACATAGTGGTGCAGAAAATGGAGCACTCAAGCTAGCCATCTAATACTCAAATTATTGAACAATTCTATTTCTGTGTGTGTTGGCAGTATATTTTGTAAGTATGACAATATAAACAGTAATAGGATGTTTGTGGGGGGGTCTAGGTCAAATATCCATCTGATACTTTTTAGTTTATCCATTGTAATTTGCAATTTAGCTAATAAATGACTTTCTCACCTTTCTACTTGGTGGTGGTGGATTTTTAAAGAATCAGTTTGGTGTACAAATCTTTAAAGTTTAAGTGTGGGTTCTTCCACTTCTAAGCTTGATTTTCCTCATCTGTTTAAAAACAAAGAGGATAATGGTATGCCCCTGGAACCAAAGTATCATTTCCCTAACTTTTATTAACAATACTATGGAATTAACTGACTCAAACTCCTTTTAAGAAGATATTGAAAGCCATGTAGTTTATTAATATTATGTTGAAATACTAATAAACTTAGAATTAAAGGGAGAGACCTTTCTTCAGCATATGTACAATTTACTGAGTGAGCTATCAATTCTGTCCTTGTTTCTTAGGACTTTTTCCATTGGTCATTCTTTCTTGAGATTTTCTAGTTGTCATATTCCCAAGTTCTCTTAAAAGTTCATCATTTCAATTTATTTAAATTTATGGGTGTTTCATTTTCTGTGTAGAATAACATAATTTTAAGATGAACTCTTGAGGGCCGGCCCCGTGGCTTGGTGGTTAAGTGCCTGCGCTCTGCTGCTGGCGGCCTGGGGTCGGATCCCAGGCGTGCACTGACACACCGCTTGTCCGGCCATGCTGAGGCCGTGTCCCACATGCAGCAACTAGAAGGATGTGCAGCTATGACATACAACTATCTACTGGGGCTTTGGGGAAAAAAAAAGATGAACTCTTCATTTATTACTCTTGGTTGTAACCTCAGCCAGATTGCTCAGGATTCTGCGAGGGGGAGAAACTATGGTTTTCCTTTCGGATGCTAGGTTGTGGTGGCCAGGATGAAGACTTCGTGTCCTCTGTGGAAACAGCGGAGCTGGTCTGGGCGGTCGCCAGCCTGAGAGCTCTCAGACCCTCAGTCGCTATCCGCCCACCGCAGCCCCGCCCCCTCCTCGCCGCGGGCGCTCCTACCGCGGCCCCGCGCAAGCCCCGCCCCTCGCGTCGGCGCTCCCACGAAGGGGCGGGGCGGTGGCGCGCTGACACCTGGCTGCCGCGTGGGCGGGCCGAAGGCGAGCGTGGGCGGCGATTGGCTGGGCCGGCGCGGGAGGCGGAGGGCGAGGGAGACGGTTGTAGGGCTCGTGCCTGTTCCGGAGCCGAGGAGGCCCGAGGGGCGCGGAGACCCGGGAGGGAGACGGCGGCAGCATGGCGGCTGGGTGCGAGCCGCCCAGCCCTCCTGTTCCCGGCTGTCGCCGCCGCCGGAGTCGCCGGGACCCGTTAGTCCGCCTGTGTTCGTTGTAAGGCTGCTGCCCGCCGTCAGCCCTCGGGCCCACCGGCCCTCCTCCCTCTCACCGCCGCCGCCAGCCCGAGGGTCGGGCCGGGTCACTCCCACCTGCCGCCCACCAGCCCGCGGGCGGGGCCATGGAGGACGTGAAGCTGGAGTTCCCCGCGCTGCCGCCGTGCAGAGAAGACGCCGAGGTGAGTGTGCGCGGGGCCGCCACGCCAGGCCTCGGCTCGTGGCTCGGCGGCCGAGGGGCCAGCCCGGGCCCCGCCGTCGAGGCTCTCGCGCGGGGCGCTGCGCGCCGACCCCGATGCCCTCCGCCCGAGCCCGCGGGGCCGGCTGGCGCTCGCCTGACGAGAGGAGCCGCGGCGGGCTGCCTCGGAGGAGGGCTCCCCTTTTGTCGCCAGAGCAGCGCGAGGGTGGCGGCGCTGTTTCCGGTCTTGACCTGGGGTGCCTCTGGTGTCGCCGGCTCGCCTTGGGACGCGGGGCCCCGCCTGCGGGATAGATCGGGGCCTGGAACCTGGGCAACTTCAGCAAGTTTCCCAGAGTAGTTGGTTTTTGTTTTGTTTTGTTTTGTTTTTGAGGCAAAGCTGTGACCAGCTGAATAAAATATCACAAAGCTAGTTCGTTTGAATCTGAAAACTTCAAAAAGAAAACTTGCCCTTTGGAGGGAAATTAATATTGAGAATAAAATTCTTTATAATTTGTTGTCCTGACTTCTCTTTCTGGGTTCTTTTCGCTCTACCTTACTTCTTCCCTGCCTGACTTTTTTTTTTTTTTTTTTTTTTTTTTTTTTTTTTTTTTTTTCCCCCCAAAGCCCCAGTAGATAGTTGTATGTCATAGCTGCACATCCTTCTAGTTGCTGTATGTGGGACTCGGCCTCAGGATGGATGGAGAAGTGGTGCCTCAATGCGCACCCGGGATCCGAACCCGGGCCACCAGCATTGCAGTGCGCGCACTTAACCACCAAGCCACAGGGCCGGCCCTGCCTGACTTTTGTATTGAGGATTTTTTCTATTAATAGTTTAAAATACTTTATGGTATTGCAGACTATTAATTTAGAAGTTTTCAAGACTAAGTTAGTAACATCACAAGGATACTGAGTTATGCTTTAGTAGGATTGAAAGAAAGAAATCTGAAATTTGTAGTTTTGAAACCGGCAAATAGCCATTGATGGTTAAGCAGCTAGTAACTATGGGGGATTGGAGTTTGCCAGCTCAGAATATGTCTGCCTGAATGACATTTTGGCCCCTACCCACACTAACTAACCAAAGGAGTTTGGGATGGGAGGTCTGCCCCCAGAATAGGTCATCGCCGTAGACATCTCCGGGTACCTGGGTGGGTCCATGCTAAGCCCATTTTTAGTTCTGGTTACCCTTTATAAAATACATTTACATTTATAAAGAAAATCTTCATTTGTAAAGGTATCTTCTTCCCTGTACCAGGAAGAATGGGGGGATGGCCTTACCTAGAAACTTATCAGAACGGAAGGCGAGGACTTAAGTCTGCATGATAAACTTACTCATTGTTAACTGTGCTGTTTGGGCAATATGCTCTCTGACTCCCACTAGGTTCCTATAGATGACCTCTCCCTGGAGCCTGGGTCACCATGGTAATGGATGTTTGAGCTATTTTTTTCAGGAACTGAATCCCTTGTCCACTTCAGACTGGATTGAGACCGCCAGCCCATCAACTGGGGCCTTTTGAGGGCAAGAGGTTGGAACTCCACCCTCAGGGCAGGCTAATGCAGCCATTCTGTGAACATGCGTCCTAGGAAGAGGCATGAAGGCTGACTACGCTTGCGCAGATCACAATTCCCTCATCTCTCCTCACCTCCAATCATTTCAGACCACCTTGCCCCCTTCCCCATAAATACCCCTGAGTCCCTATTTTCGGGGAGGCGGATTTGAGACTTGTTCTCCCCTTTTCCTCACTTGGCTGCCTTGTGATTAAACCCTCTCGCTGCAATCTCGTCGTCTCAGTGATTGGCTTTCTGGGCGGCGGGCAAAAACGGACCTGGTGCGGTAACAGTTTTAAATGTTTTAAAAGTAATTGGAAAGTTAAAGCTCTGTTTTTAAGGGACCACTCAATTTAAACCAAATATTCGTTCTATTGAATATCTTCATTCAGGGTTCACATTATTTATTTGGAGGGATCTTTTTCTTGAGATAGTAATACTTGAGAATTTCTTGTTTTAAGAGTAGGCTCTTAAATAGGAAAGAAAAGTCAAATTTAAGTTAGTTAAAAAATGAATTTACACTTTCTCTTTGTTTAGTATGGAATAATGTGAGTGGGGATATGCCTTTATATCCTCAAAATGATTCGGTAGTTTCAGTACTGGAAGCAACCTTAGAAATAATGTAGAGCATTCCCACTTTTCAGGTGAAGAAATGGTAGCTTAGTGAGAATAAGTGGTATGCCAAGGTAATAACAGTAGCGCAATGAGGACCTTGGTCTTCTGATTCCAAATCATTGTTCTTTTTAATACACCTCATTTCTTCCCTGCTCTAGTTTAAAATGTTTGCACACTTTGCATTTAATTTTGTATTGTGTATATAACGTGTCTTATCCCTATAAAAATTATAAAATCCTACTGGGAATATAGCTTTCTTCTTTCCTGTGTGAGACAGAAGTAATGCTTAAAGCCTAGTAGATAATGATGTAGATATTATCCACTGAAAGCCAATTCATGTCTTATTTCATAGCATTGGATGTTCTCTTGGTTGCAAGTAACAAAAACCAACTCAGACTAGCCTAAGCAAAAAGAAAGATAACTAAATCCAGAAAGGTAGGGGTGCACTGGTCTCAGGGACTTGACTAGCCGGTACTATAATGCATCAGAACTGCCTCTGCCTCTCATCAGTGCTTCTCTCTACTTTCTCTCAGGGTCTCTTCTTTTCCTGGGGCTTCTCCAGAGGTATGGAGTTTGGCCATCAGCTGCTCTGAGGTCAGACCCTTACAGACCTTGCACATTGAGGAATAAAAGTGCCTCTTTCCAAGCTTCAGTGTTTAAAATCTAGAGGATTGGCCCGACTTAAGTCATGTGCTCATCCTTTGGATCAGTCACTATAGCCAGGAAGGGGTGAATACAATGAGGGGCCCAGTCTTATACCCACTTGGCTAGGGGAGTGAAGTTTATCATTGGTAGTCCTCCCACAAAAATCATAGGAACATTTCCACAACAGATGGAGGGTGCTTTCGGAGCAGACAAGACTATAAATAACCATTAAATAGGACATATAGTTGGGATAAACTGACTAATAAAACAGAATGTTAATTTTCTAATTTCTAGTGAGATATGTGTAGTGTCAAATCGTCTTACATAGTAATGGTTACGTGACCAGCCAGCAGTCTCTTACACATAGGAAGCACTACGTGGAAAGCTAAATTACGATCCAAATCTTGCTTTAATAAAAATGGAATTGAAGTAGTGAGATTTTAATGAATGCTTTTATGATAGCTTGATGATCCTATCACCTTTATAAGAATACTCCTTCCAAGTTTCTTGAAATACTGGTCAGGCCATTCTTTATAGGATATTGCCAGCAAAAATTTAGCTGTGTTTAGATCAGTTTGCAAAAAGTTTGTCACTCTGTTTAAAACTTTGCTGTGATTTCCCATTGCTTTGAGGATGAAGTTCAAATCCTTAACAGCATCTGCAAGGTCCTGTGTGTGTGAGCTTGCATCTGCCTACCCCTCTAATCTCATTATGAGCTGCTCTTCCCCTTGCTCCCTTCTCTGTATGCCCTAACCATATTCATCATCTCTCAGTTCCTGAAATGCTTTAATTTTTTCCCCTACCTCAGGGGTATTGCATTTGCTATTCTCCCGTGCCATGGGTGCCAGCATTCCCCTTGCTCTCACCTAATTAACTACTTGCTCTTGGGTTAGATCTCACTTGAGGCATCATTTCTTGGGAGAAGCTTTCCCTGATTTTGCCAACTCCTCGTGCCCCTCTACCCACCCCTCAGAGTAGTTCAATCCCCCAGGTTTATAAGCCTCTGTAGCGCTTGGTACTTTTTTACCTACCTTTGTAACAGTTATCATACTTACAGTCTTGGTCCATGGCTATTTTCCATGGCAGACTGAAAGTTTCATAAGGAAGCTTAGTTACCAATAAGTTCTGTTTTATTTGCCACTTTGTTTTACTTAACAGTGTCTGGTATATACCATAAGCTTAATGAATGTTGAATTAATGAAAGAATCTTGATTGGTTTTGATAGTAGCGTCTTACCTGTAGCAAGATTACAGTCTAGATGTCAGGAAGAAAAAAAAGAGCAGCTTACAGTACAATTCTTTTTTTTTTTTTTTGAGAGGAAGATCAGCCCTGAGCTAATATCTCTCGCCAATCCTCTTTTTGCTGAGGAAGACTGGCCCTGGGCTAACATCCGTGCCCATGTTCTTCCACTGTATATGGGACGCCGCCACAGCATGGCTTGATAAGCAGTGCGTGCCTGGGGTCCGAACCTGCGAACCCTGGGCCTCTGAAGTGGAGCGCACGCACTTAACCGCTGCCACCAGGCCAGCCCCTACAGTACCAATTTTTAAATAAATTAGTTGCATAGTTAGGGCTATTTTTATAATTCAAAAATTAATGTTTTATCTTCTTTTTAGATAGAAAGTGAAATATAATTTATTTCCTTTGTAGTTTGGCAACTTAAATGTTACTCTTTCCATTTTCCTTACTCTTTGGATTCCCACAGTACAGAATCAAAAATAGGAATTGCTTAATATCTCAGAGTGGGGATCCCTCTCTTAGCTCCTTTAAATTTAGAATGGTGCTTTTTTAACCTGGCGTAGAGTAGAATCACCCAAGGAGCTTTTAAAAAATAACCATGCCTGGGGACCCACCATCACCTATTTTGATTTAATTGGTCTGAGATGGAGCCAGATAGTTCTTTTTTTTTTTGTGAAGAAGATCAGCCCTGAGCTAACATCCATGCCAGTCCTCTTTTTGCTGAGGAAGACCAGCCCTGAGCTAATATCTATTGCCAGTCCTCCTCCTTTTTGCCCCCTTTTTCTGCCCAAAGCCCCAGTAGATAGTTGTATGTCATAGCTGCACATCCTGCTAGTTGCTGTATGTGGGACGCGGCCTCAGCATGGCCGGACAAGCGGTGTGTGGGTGCGCGCCCGGGATCCGAACCCCGGGCCGCCAGTAGCGGAGTGTGTGCACTTAACCGCTAAGCCACGGGGCTGG